ATTGTTCATATCATTTTACCACCTAATTTCCAAACCTTTCACTATTTATTACTATTTTCTTTCAGCATTGGCCAGTTTAATGATAGAAGTAATAGAAGGCATCTTAGGTTTCTCTCTGTCTTAAAGAGAATGAATTTATGTGATGGACCAAATGTGTTTACCCAAAATTCACATGTTGAAATCTAACTCCTAATGTGATGGTATTTGGAAGAGAGGCCTTTGGGAAATGATTAGGTCATGAGGATAGAGCCCTCACGGGATAGGATTAGTGACCCTATAAAAAAAAGGCCAAAAAATTAACTGGCTCTCACTTCACTGTGTGAAAATTCAACAAGAAATTGGCAATCGCCAACCTGAAAGAAGGCCCTCACCAGAATTCACCCATGCTGACACCATCCAGAACTGTGAGAAATAAGTTTATGTTGTTTATAACCCATCCAATCTATGGTACTTTGCTATACCAGCCAAAACTAACTAAAGCACCTATATTGTATAAGATTTAGTGTAGGTTTCATTTATCATTTTTAACAAGAAGTTTTCTTTAGACTGCATAAATCTGTTTTGGCAAGAGTCTGGGAGAGTGTCTAGAAATATTACATCAAAACTCATTGGTAAGGGTACAATTATCCAGTGTTTAAAAATTAACATGTTAGCTCAAGCACTTAGAAACAACTTAATAGCCTGTTGGTTACTAACTGGAGCCAGGCTTACAGTGAATGTCATCTAACATGACATTTGAACTTCCCTTGCATATTTTAGAAGGAATTTAAAGATTCCAAGAAATGGGGATCTTAGAATGAATCTATTATATGCAACATACCCTAGTGACATTCTCTAAGAAGCTCCAGAGGGTATCTTCACTGAGCATTAAGACATATACTGGTGACAGTTTAGTAGCATACTGAAGAGCTTTGTGGTGACTATTTTGTAAGCCAGAGATGACAGTGGATGATGCAGGAATGGAACCAAGTATCCTGATATCAGTGGGAATTATGGGATACCAAAGTGGCAGAAGGCTAGTGATAGCATTTACCTATCAGTCACAGTGGGGGTGAAATTAGAATCCCCTCCAACACATTATCCCCAGACTTCTGCCAATACGGATTGATGCAGGCCTATAATTTTTTAGCAAACGGACTAATATGGAGATGAGAACAATAAGTAGGAGATTGTTTATGTTGTTTAGGATACTATGCTGCTGTTACTATACTAGGATACCAAGCTGCTGTGATTTTCTCAGAATCTAGACTTGCAAATTTCACAATTTCTTCAATATAATAATAAAAATACACATTTACACATCATTTGTTGGGCATTTATCATGTGTGAGATAAGTGCTTTACCTACATGCATTCTTTTGTCCTTTCCTGCTTTTTTTTTTTTTTTGGAACATTATACATTAGGGATACTATCCCACTCCCAGAGAATCCATATTTAGTCAATTCTCTCTCCCCTGCATCAACCCTAGGGTATCTAAGACCATGCGAGGTCTAAAGTTGTACCCGATTAGACTATTAGATTCCAGAGAAGGTTTTTTGGATGTGCCCATCCTAGACTAGCCACATGGCATAGACTGCATCACTCAGAGGGTCACATTCTAATATGGGAATCAGGATGTCTGATAAGCAATGGAGCATTTGGCTCTTTAGTTTATTCATCCATTCATTCACTCATTCTCACTGCGTGCCAGACACAGTGCTATACACTGCCGAGAGCCAGCGTTAGAGGGGAGGGAGGGGAAAAATGTCAGACAGTGTATCTGCCCTCATGAAACCCACCTATAGGATGATTCTAAATAGTTGACCCATTTTTTGACTTAGAATAAAGTGAAAATTACCTAATTATGGTAATAGACTCTGTTTGTAGAGCAGCTTTGATCTTCAGAATTCCATAGCATGAGCTAGAGCTTGTCAGGTACCTGAGCAGGTGTCATCTCCACTCTACAGAATACACTGAGGACCAAAGGACTTGAGTGGCTGTACCCACCACATACTGCAGAGGATTCTTAGTGGCAAGGAGCTTCCGACAATGATGCTGCTTCTAAAAGGGGTGTGTCCGGGATTAGCAACGGGGCCGCCACGTGATCAGTCCGCAGCAGATCAAACGCAGCCTCTTCCCCCTGGGTGTGGGAAGGCCCATTGGTTCACATAGTCTATATTTTAAGTCGTTCCATTCCAGACTTACCATTCACATTTGGAGCTTCAGCCTGCTCTTTAGGACAGCAGTAATAAAACTACAATCATGGCTACATTTATTGTATGCTTGTTACATACTAGACACTTTTCTAATTTGTTTTTTTTTATTGCATTTTAGGTTTTGGGGTACATGTGAAGATCATGCAAGATTGTTGCATAGGTACACACATGGCAGTGTGGTTTGCTGCCTTCCTTCCCCTCACCTGTATCTGTCATTTCTCCCCATGCTATCTCTTCCCACCTCCCCATCCCTCCATTTCCCCCCAACAGACCCCAGTGTGTAGTGCTCCCCTCCCTGTGTCCATGTGTTCTCATTGTTCAACACCCGCCTATGAGTGAGAACATGTGGTGTTTGATTGTCTGCTCTTGTGTCAGTTTGCCGAGAATGATGGTTTCCAGGTTCATCCATGTCCCTACAAAGGACGTGAACTCATCATTTTTGATGGCTGCATAATATTCCATGGTGTATATGTACCACATTTTCCCTGTCCAGTCTATCATCGATGGGCATTTGGGTTGCTTCCAGGTCTTTGCTATTGTAAACAGTGCTGCAATGAACACTCGTGTGCACGTGTCCTTATAGTAGAATGATTTATTTGTTAACACGAATTTCATGAATGCCGTGAGCCCATATACTAATCCGTTTTATTACTACTCTCCCTCTTCCCAAGGACAGAGGATGGTGCCCACACAGCCAGCTGAGGGCGGTATCGTTGTCATCCCCTACCCAGTCCTCGTCTTGGGAGCCTGCAGGCTCCGCGGAGCCGCGGGGGCCCCACCGCGCCTCGGGTGTCCGCGCGGGTCTCTCGCACAGCCGCGCTCTTGGGCGTTAGAACCCCGCGAGGGGGGATGAGGGGCGCCACCACCGAGGACGCGGCCCTCACCGGGCTCCCGGGGCTGCCAGGCCCCCAGCTGAGGGCGCTGCCTGCGCAACCACGCCCCCCTGGCCCTGTGCCAAGAGCGTGATGCGAGTGTCCGGAGCCACGGCCTGGTTATCACTCGCGGCTCCCTCGTCCCGGGTTCCCCCATCGCCAGGAATGCTTCATGGTAACCATCGTATCGTTGAGACGATCCGTTCTTGTCCTACGCATTTCATTTCGGCACGATACAGGCATCTAGGAGGCTTACCAGGCACAGCCTGAGAGCAGCTTCCATTCGTTGACGTGAGTAAACCCCAGCGGGGGAGCTGGCCTTGTGAGTTGCAGCACCGTGAAAAAACCAAGGCCTGCGGTTCCCAGCATCTGCCCAATCTGAGCTCCTGTTTGCCACCACTGCTGGTTTCCCCATCTCTTCCTAATGCCTCAGGCGACCATAAGATATCCTCTTTAGCCTGAGTGTCAGTTATTTTGTAAGACCTCTGTTTATCACCTTGAGAGGTTCTGCAGGGTCCTTAAAACGAATTTTATGTATTCACATAGCCTAGATTTTAAGTCGTTCCATTCCAGACTTACCGTTCACATTTGGAGTTTCAGCTTGCTCTTTAGGACAGCAGTAATAAAACTACAGTCACGGCTACAATCATGGCTGCATTTATTGCACACTTGCTACATACTAGACACTTTTCTAATTTATGTATTAATACTAATTTCATGAATGCCATGAGCGCAAATACTAAGATCTCAAATTTCATGAAATGAAATCCAGCCAGTTTAGTTGTTTGCAGACTGCAGGAACACATAGAAACTTCATTGTACTTATACGTTCATTTGCCAGTTGCTGAGCTCCAAAAAAATGTACCATACACAGTGCTTAGAATCTACAGTTACAAAGATGCATATCACAAAACATAGGAAAAAAAGATAACTTATTGGTGGAACTGAAACTGATCAGAAATGACTGGAGTGTGGTTGGAGAAATTAGACCGAAAAGGAAGCCAGAGGGCACATCATGAAAGGCTCTTGTGTGTTTGCAGACTCTTCCAAAGTCAGTAGGGAGCCTCTTAAGTGATATGATGAGATTTGAAGAACTGCTGTGACTGAGATGTGGGGACTAGGCTGAAAGGGCAAGGTAAAGAATAACGAATATTAGAGGAAAGAAAGCCACATAAGAAGTCTTCATAATAATCCAAGTAAAAAATGAAGCCCTTGAGAACTCAGCCAGTGATCTTTGTCTACCATTTCTATTTCTATGCCCAGCCCTCAATAAATTTGGATTTGGGGTTTTCCCTGTTATAATGGGTTGGTCGATTTGGTTCAGCTGGGTTGAACTGGCTTTGAGGGGAGACTAAATGGGAAGAGGTTGGAAGGGAGCAGTGAGGTTTCCAAGTTTGACGATACTTCGGTTGGATTTCTGGGCACCATTTTCATTTCACTGAGAAATAGAAGTTTCAATTAGGAATGAACAAAAGCCAATCCAGAAGATGGAAAGCTCATGGAGAAGGTTAGAGAAGAGCTGCAATGCAGTGAGCATGTGGGAACCCAACAGACTCATTTCTAAGATGTAAGACTTACATCAGTGAGAGTAATTTGAAACGACATGGTTAGAGGTGACATCAGTGAATACAGCACAGTGGGGAACACCAAGCAATTAATAAACTGGCAAAAACTATCAGAAACAACATTCTCACAACTCTAAAAATTAACCAAAACTTGCAGCAACCAAGGAATGATTGATCAAGAAAACACAAGTAAATCTTGGAAACAGATTTTTGTGACATTTTAATTTATCCTAGTCTCATTTCCCACTCCCAGCTCATCCATCCCCTTAAATAAAACAGCCTTTATTTTCTGTACAGGTACCTGGTAACAGAGGGAGCAAAGCAAATCTTATCCTCAAAGAACTGTGGATACTTGTTAGATCTGTCTGGTGGTTCCATAGGGAACGTGCTCAAAGAAACTGCCTTTATCTCACCTAACGCAGAACTATCCCGGAGCTCAGGTAAGCTACTCCAGGTGCATTTGTCAAAAACATATAAAGGAAAAAACATAATAGTCTTTTATTTCTGAGGCAAGAAATAACAATTGGGGCAAATAATACACTAACTGAAAAGTTTGGGAGAAAAGGCCGGGGAATGAGATACTTTGTGTAACAAACTTCCACATATTTCTGATAAATATGTGGAAGGCCACATGAATGACCTGGGCTAGACATATGCTCAGAAAAGACCTGAAAAGACCCTAAGCTCTCACCTTCAGACAATGTTTAGACTGTGTACAAGTAGGAAGTAAAGGATAAGTGGAGTGGTCTTTAATGCATTTTGAGTTGATTTTTGTACATGGTGTGAGAAAAGGGTCCAATTTCATTATTCTGCATGTGGATACCCAGTTGTCTCAACATCATTTATTGAAGAGGCTGTCCTTTCTCCATTGTATGCTTTTGCCATCTTCGTCAAAAATCAATTGACCCTAAATGTACTGGTTTATTTCTGAGTTCTTTAGTCTGTTCCATTGATCACTGTGTCTGTTTTTATGGCAATACCATTTTGTTTTGATTAGTATAGCTTTGTAATATATTTCAAGATCAAGTAGTGTGATGACTCCAGCTTTGTTCATTTTGCTCAAGATTGCTTTGGCTGTTTGGGGTATTTTGTGATTCCATACAAATTTCAGATTTTTTCTCTATTTCTTTGAGAAATAGATTGAATTTTGGTAGAGCTTTCCTTGAATCCACAGATTGATTTGCATACTATCGATATTTCAACAATATTAACTAATCCAATCCATGAACATGAAATAGTTTTCCATTTATTTGTGTTTTCAATTCCTTTTATTAATGCTTTGTAGTTTTTAGTATACAAATCTTTTGACTCCTTGGTTCAATTTTTTCCTACAGATTTTTTAGACTATAACTGGGTTTGTTTTCTTAATTTAGTTTTTGGAGAGTTCATTGTCAATATAAAGAAAACTTTCTGATTCTGATTCTTACATGTTGATTTTTTCTTTTTTATTTTTTAACACAGGCTGGAATGCAGTGGCACCATCTTGGCTCACTGCAACCTCCACCTCCTAGGTTCAAGTGATTCTCATGTCTCAGTCTCCTGAATAACTGGGGTTACAGTTGTGTGCCACCTGCCCAGCTAATTTTTGTATTTTTAGTAGAGATGAGGTTTCATCATGTTGGCCAGGCTGGTCTCAAACTCCTGACCTCAAGTGAACCACCTGCCTTGGCTTCCCAAAGTGCTGGGATTATAGACATGAGCCACCACACCCAACCACATGTTGGTTTTTAACCTTGAAACATTACTGAATTTGCTTATTAATTTTAATAGATTTTTGGTGGAATCTATAGTATTTTCTATATGTAGGATCATGTCATCATGTCTATGGGGTTTTCTATATATAGGACTCATTTCCTATCTAGATGCCATTTATTTCTTTTTCTTACCTAATTACTCTGGTAATGTGTGACTTCCAGTACTATGTTAAATAAAAATGGCAAGAATGGACTTGTCATGTGCCTGATCTTAGAGGAAAAGTTTTCAGATTTTTACCATTAAGTATGTTAGCTGTGGACTTGTCATATGCAGCCTTTATTGTGTTAAAATACTTTTCTTCTGTGCCTAATTTGTTGAGAGTTTTTATCATGAAAAGCTGTTGAATTTTGCCAGATGCTTTTTCTGCATCAGTTGAGATGCTCATATTATTTTTATGCTGGATTGTGTCAATGTGGTGTATCACATTTATTCATATAAATGTGGTATATCACATTTAAATATAGTGAAGCACTCCCGAATCCTAGAGATAAATCCAACTTGATCATGGTGAATGATTGTTTTAATGTGCTGTTGAATTTGATTTGCCATTATTGTGTTGAGGACTTTTTGCATTTATATTCATCATGTATATTGACCAGTAATTTTCTTTTCTTATAGAGTTGTGTCCAACTTTGATATCAGAGTAATTCTTGCCTCCTAAAATTAGTCTGGAAGTATTTCTCTTCTTCAATTTTTTGGAAAGACTTGAGAATGACTGATATTAGTTTCTTAAATGCCTGGTAGAATTCATCAGTGAAGCGATCAATTCCTGAGCTTTTCTTTAATAGGAGACTTTTTATTACTGATTCAAACTCCTTACTCATTATTGTCTGTTCAAATTTTCTATTTTCTCATGATTCATTCTTGATCGTTTTTCATTTCTAGGAGTTTATTCATTTCTTCTAGGTTATTTAATTTGTTGGTATATTGTTCGTAGTAGTCTCTTATGATCCTTTACATTTCTGTAGTATCAGTTATAATGTCTCCTCTTACATTTCTGATTTAATTTGAGTATTCACTCTTTTTTTTTCTTAGTTTAGCTAAATTTGCCAACTTTATTTTTTAAGAAAAACTGGTTTTAGTTTCCTTCATCTTTTGTACTGCTTTACTAGTCTCTATTTGTTTCTGCTCTAATATTTATTATTTATATCCTTGTACTAACTTTGAACTTAGTTTGATTTTACCTAGTTCCCTGAGGTGTAAAGTTAGATTGTTTATTTGAGACATTTATTTTTCTTCATATAGGCATCTATTTCTATAAGCCTCCCTCTTAGAAGTACTTTTATTGTATCCTGTAAGGTTTGATATGTTGTATTTCCATTCTTGTTTTTCCTGACATTTTTAAATTTCCCTTCTGATTTCTTTTTTGACAGCCTAATTGTACTAAAGCACCTTGTTTAAATTCCACATATTTGTGGATTTTCCAGTTTTCCTTATTATATTGATTTATAGTTTTTTTAACTCCTAACGTGGATTTAATAAACACATTGCAACCTGTTTGGGTCATCTAACATGTGTATGTACCATGGAACAGTAGTCATCTTGATTTTTGTTTTTTCTTTCTTTTCTTTTTTGTAGTTTTCTCCTAATTAAATAGATTTTTTTAACTTTTATTTTAAGTTCAGTGATACATGTGCAGGTTTGTGACATAGGTAAACTCATGCCATGGAGGTCTGTTGTACAAATTATTTCATTGCCCAAGTATTAAATTTAGTATCCATCAGTTGTTTTTCCTGATCCTGTCCCTCCTCCCACCCTACACTCTCAAGCAGATGTCTTCATTCTTCTCTATGTGCTCATGTGTTCTCATCATTTAGCCACCACTTATAAGTGACAACATGCAGTATTTGGTTTTCTGTTCCTGCATTAGTTGACTTGTAGTTTTCATACCATAGGTATTAGAAAACATGCTTGGTATAATTTCAATTTTTAAAAATTTGTTAATACTTGTGTTATGGTTTAAATGTTTGCTCCCTCCCAAACTCATGTTGAAATTTGACTGCTATTGTATTAAGTGGGACCTTTAAGAAGTGATTAGGATATGAGGTCTCTGCCCTAATGAATTGATTAATGCCCTTGTCATAAGAGTGGGTTCATTATCATGGGAATGGGTCCTTTATAAAAGAATTAGAAAAACTATTATAAAATTCCTATGGAAACAAAAAATAACCTGAATTGCCAAAGTAATCCTAAGCAAAAAGAACAACATTGGAAGCATCACATTACTCATCTTCAAGCTATACTACAAGGCTGCAGTAACCAAAAACGCAAGGTACTGGTACAAAAATAGACACATAAGCCTCCCTCTTAGAAGTATTTTTATTGCATCCTGTAAGGTTTGATATGTTATATTTCCATTCTTGTTTTTCCTGACATTTTTAAATTTCCCTTCTGATTTCTTTTTTGACAGCCTAATTGTACTAAAGCACCTTGTTTAAATTCCACATATTTGTGGATTTTCCAGTTTTCCTTATTATATTGATTTATAGTTTTTTTAACTCCTAACGTGGATTTAATAAACACATTGCACCCTGTTTGTTGCAAACCTATAATCAACTGATCTTTGACAAAGTGGACAAAAATAAGCAATAGGGAAAGGAGTCCCTATTTAATAAATGGTGCTGGGAAAATTGGAGAGCCATATACAGAAGAATGAAACTAGACCCCTATCTCTCACCGTATACAAAAATCAACCAATTGGATTAAAGACCTAACAATAAGACCTGCAACTATAAAAATCCTAAAAGAAAACCTAGGAAAAACTCTTCTGGACATTAGCCTAGGCAAGAATTCATGGCAAAGAACCCAAAAGCAAATGCAATAAAAGCAAAAATAGACAAATACGACTTAAACTAAAAAGTTTCTGCACAGCAAAGAAAATAATCAACAGAAGAAGCAGACAATGTGTAAAATGGGAGAAAATATTTGCAAATTGTGCCTCTGACAAAGAACTAATATCCAGAATCTACAAGGAATTCAAATAATTCAACCAGAAAAAAAAAAAAGAAAGAAAGAAAAAAACCACGTCACTGAAAACTGGGCAAAGGTCATTGGTATGGTTTGAATGCATATCCCCTTAAAATATCATGTTGAAATCTGACCCCCAGTTTTGAAGTGAGAGGCCTGGGCGGGCGGGGTGGGGTGGGCGGTTTGGGTCATGGGGGCAGATTCTCCATGAATGGCTTGGTGCATCCCTGTGACAGAGTTCACATGAAATATGGTTGTTTAAAAGATTGTGGCATCTCCCTGCCTTTGCTCCCTCACTTGCCATGTGATATGCCTGCTCCCACTTTGTGTTCTGCTATGAGTAATAGCTTCCTGATGCCCCATCAGAAGCCTAAGAGATTCCAGTGCCATGCTTCCTGTATATCTGGCAGAACTGGAAGCCAATTAAGCCTCTTTTCTTTACAAATTACCTAGTCTTGAGTATTCCTTTTTAGAAATGCAAGAACAGACTAATACAGAAAATTGGTACTAAGGAGTGGGGCATTGCTATGCCTGAAAATGTTGAAGCAGCCTTGGATCTGGGTAATGGGTAGAGGTTGAAAGAGGATGAAGGTCTCAGAAGAAGACAGAAAGATGAGGGAAAGTTTGGATTTCTTAGAAACTGGTTAAAAGGTTGTGTTCAAAATGCTGATAGAAATATGAACAATGAAGGTCAGGCTGATGACTTCTCAGATGGAAATGAGGAAGCTATTGGGAAATGGAGTAAAGATCACCCATACTACCCTCTAGCAAAGAACTTGGCTCCATTGTGTTCATATTCTAGGGATCTGTGGAAGTTTGAAGTTAAGAGTGATGACTTAGGGTATCTGGTAGGAGAAATTTCTAAGCAGCAAAGCATTCAAGAAGTGGACTGGCTGTTTCTAACAACCTGCCATCAGATACGGGAGCAAAGAAATGGCTTCTATTTAAAAGGCAAGCAAAGCATGAAACTTTGGAAAAGTGTGGTAGAAAAGAAAAATGCATTTACAGGAGAAGAATTCAAACAGGCCACAGAGCAACTGCTTTCTAGAGAGATTAGCATGACTCAAGGGGATCCAAGCACTAATACCCAAGACAATGAGAAAAGGGCCTCAAGGCGTTTCAGAAGTCTTCCGGAGAGCTCCTCTCACCACAGGCCCAAAGGCCTAGAAGGAAAGAACAGTTTCAGGGTCCATCCCTAGGGCCGCACTGCCTGTGTAAATTATTTACTTCCAACATTGTAACTTGGAAGTAAATCATTTGTTTCTGATTTTACAGGCTCACAGGTAGAAGGAACTTGCTTGAGTCTTTAATGATGATACTTTGGACTTGGAACTTTTGAGCTAATGCTGGAATGAGTTAAGACTTTGGGGGAACTATTGGGAAGAGATAACTATTCTGCCATGTGAGAAGAACATGAGATTTGGGGGCTCAAGGGAAGGATGACATGATTTGGATGTGTGTCCCCTCGAAATCTCATGTTGACATCTGACCTCCAATGTTTGAGGTGAGGCCTGAGAGGAGATATTTGGGTCATAGGGGCAGATTTCTCATGAATGGCCTGGTGTTCTCCCCGTGGTAGAGTTCACATGAGATCTGGTTGTTTAAAAGATTGTGGCACCTCCCCTACTCTCTCTTGCTCCCTTACTTGCCATGTGATGTGGCTGCTTCCACCTCACCTTCTGCCATGAATAAAAGCTTCCTGAACACCCCGCCAGAAGCTGAGCAGATGCTATTGCCATGCTTCCTGTACACATGGCAGAACTGGGAGCCAAGTAAACTTTTTTTTTTAAGTAAATTACCTTGTCTCAGTTATTTCTTTATAGCAACACAAGAATGGTCTAATACAGGCTTGAAAAGCCATTTTTCAAAATAAGAAATACAGCCAGCCAACAAATAGATGAAAAAATGAATGCCCAATATCACCAATCCTCAGGAAAATGCAAATCAAAACCACATTGAAATATTATCTTACACTAGTCAGAATAGCTATTACTAAAAAGACAAAAAACAACAGATATTAGCAGGGATGTAAATAAAAGGGAATGCTCATACATTGTTTATGGGAATGTAAATTAGTTGAACCTCTGTGGAAGACAAAGTAGAGATACCTCAAAGGACTACAAATAGAGCTATTACTCAACCCAGCAACTCACTACTGCATAACTACCCAAAGGAAAATAAATATTTAAAAAGCACCTGCTCTCATATGTTTAGCACAGCACTATTCACGATAGCAAAGTCATGGAACTAGCCTAAGTGTCCATCAATGGTTGATTGGATAAAGAAAATGCCATATATATACATCATGGAACACTACACCACCGCAAAAATAAAATCATGTTGTTTGTAGCAATATAGATGGAACTGGAGGCCATTATTCTAAGTGAACTAGCCTAGAAGCAGAAAATTAAATATCACAAGTCTCACTTATAAGTGGGAGCTAAACAGCAGGTGCATATGGACATAAAGGTGGAGATGAAAAATGAAATGCATCCTATGTTCACATTTCATAGCTGTTGCAATAACCTTCGTTAAAACTAAATTTTCTCTTTTGTGGATCATGATGAATTTATGAGCTTTCATAGACAAGGCATTTTAAACTATCATAATTTTTTTGTTATTTAAATTGTCCCAAGTTGGCCAGTGAGTGCCCTGTTAACCTGGTGTCCTTGTCCTTTGTGCACTATTTCTGACATTTCATTTTCAACAGCAGTCTTGCCTTCTTCTAAGAAGATAATGTTCTATCCACAGTACGGTTCATCTACATCAGCCACTCTCTTGATTTCTTTTGGAGAAAAAAGATAGAGAACCAAATAGAAGCACCAGGGTTGCACAGGAGATTAATAGTGAGCAAAAGAGCTACTTCTGATGGGCAAGTTTGGAAAACTGAGCTAGAAAAGATATTTATTTTTAGGAATCTGAATTTATATTGCTTCTTATGGTTTGAGATGTTATTGACAATAAAAACTCTCTACTTTATTAACCATGTCCAAATTGGTGAAATCCACCTATATTCCTCAAAAGCAAACCCCTCCTTTTCTCTCTTTGCCACCCTCCATTGATGCTATCAATATTCTTTGCAAAACTGTGGCCTTTAACCTGGCATAGATGCATCATCCCAGGACTACCAGTGGGATATTTCTCCTAAAACTTTCTGCCTGCAACTGCAATGTGGAGAACTGGTTTAGTTCTGGCCTTCTCTCATTGTGAAGATCATTTCCTCCTTATAATTCATCTCCAATTATCTCTTCCTCTTCTCAACCAACAGAAGAGCAGGCCACATTTCCTGGCAAAAAGACACCAGCTGAGAAGTAAAAGCTAGTCATACATACTTGAAGGACCTCCCTATTCTCTAAGTGTCATTGTTCTATTATCTCATAGCTTCGCCAACACTGTGTTTCCTAAAATTCTATCTTCTCTCTCCCTCTTCCCCCTCTATTTTGCCTAGAGGTGTTGGTTGGTGCCAGGGTATTAGTCAGTGCTGCTGATGTAACAATCACAAAATTGTAGGCTTATAAGAAAAAATATTTACTTTTCACTTACTGGAGCTTTGTTCAATGCTGTGGGTAGGCTGTGAGCCTGCTTCACACTTCTTCATTCTGGGATCCACACTAAAGAAGAGCAAAATCCTGGGAAGTGGTATTCTCACAGCAGAGGTAAATTACCAATAAAATTGATAGAAATTTACAATATCTCATAGGGTTTGGCTCAGATGTACCGAGTGTCATCCCATCAGTCAAACCATGCCACAGGGTCAAATGCAGTATCAGTGAGGTAGAGAGATATACTCCTTCTACAGATTGAAGGGGACAGTGCAGGTCACAAGGCAATATGTGAAGATGCAGAACCCTCTAACAGGGAAACAGGAAAGAATAATTAGGAATCATAATTCAGTTCAATTATGATTCAACTGAATCATAACTTCTCTAAACTGTCACCTACCAATAAGCCCATGGAAAAGGCCATCTCTGGCAACCTACCTCTGCAGCCTCTGGCAATTTTATGAATTTAAGATGCCAAATAGTACCTTTGTCCCAACTTTAACAGTCAGCCATTATTCTGGAACACTATAAAAATTTTCACTTAATGTATATCCTCTTTTTACAAAACAAAAGAGGGATTTTTTTTTTTTTTTTGAGATGGAGTTTCACTCTTGTTGCCCAGGCTGGAGTGCAATGGCACCATCTCGGCTCACTACAACCTCCGCCTCCCTGGTTCAAGCGATTCTCCTGCCTCAGCTTCCTGAGCAGCTGGGATTACAGGCATGTGCCACCATGCCTGGCTCATTTTTTGTATTTTTAGTAGAGACAGGGTTTCTCTATGTTGATCAGGCTGGTCTCGAACTCCCAACCTCAGGTGATCTGCCCGCCTCAGCCTCCCAAAGTGCTGGGATTACAGGCATGAGCCACCATATCCAGCAGATTTTTTTTTTAAGATACAGGTATTTCTCATAGACCTGAAAAACAACTGTAATCAGAGAAGTAAGAGCCACTAGAATTTTTAGGGACTTCCCTCCTCCATATCTTTACTCTAGATGTCCCTTCATACTTTTTTCCATATAGTGGAATGCGGAAGTGCTACTACTTCTTGTTCAAAAGGCAAGCTTAGAATGGGTCTATATTGTCTTACTGCTCAATGCAGTTTTCTGGGAAAGGAATTATTATTAGCTCAACTAGAGTCAGATGCCCACCCTTTGTCTAATCAGCTATGGCTAGGCTGGGGACATTTCATGGAGAGCAAACATAGCAGTTCAACCCTGGGTGACTCTGTGGACTTGAGTGAGCAGGTAATTCCTAAGAAAGATGAAAATAATGGGAGTGGGTCAACTACATCAAAAGGTGTCTACTCAGTCTCATTTAAAGGTCATTATAGAAGGAATAAAATCTGAGGTAGCTCTTGGCTTTTGCCTGAAAGTTATTGCTGTTTAGTAGAGAATAATATCAGGGGGTTGCCAAAACCTTTTTGCAAATAATTGCAAAGCAGTGGGGAAAATCAGAGGCTGCCATTTTAAGTGTCTTCTCTCAAAATAATAATTAGCGTTACTTATTCTCTATATTTCTCTACAGAAAAGGAGTCCATTCATCCTCTATAATCACTATTATACATCTTTGTTAAAATGCCAAGAAGATTTATTCTAAAAGAAGGCACCAAAGCAATGGGGGTAAGGACCAAGGGCTACTTGGGTTAATAAATGACTAGTGTTGCTTCTTCCTAATATAAAAAGGAAAAGACATTGACTACATCTTCCTCAAAGGAAGGAGAATTGACAAAAGTGTCAGAAGGTGATGATAACTAGCCTAAAGCTCATTGGATTCAAATGATGGACCCAAAAACCATTCTGGAATAATTCAACATTATCACAACCCACCCAGGGTTCTAACCAATATACTCAGAGTTTGCTGATATATGAGAGGTCCATTTATGCCTGCATTTGTAAACAGTTTGAATCAAAGTTCATCAATCATAAAGTGGTCAGGTAATGGGCCTAAAACCAGAAAAGACTATAGACCCTGGGGCATTCTACTGTCAACATGTTCCCCTTACATTTAGCTCAGGTGGACCATATTCTGCTTCAATGCTCTCCTGCTCAGCTCTCCTCAATCATAGAATACTACACCCTTTTGTATTATCTACCAATATCTGTGGGGCCTTGTGTCACATTTGTATTTAAGTCAGCAACATTAAAGCTTACACTAGGAAAATTCCCAACATATCAAATCTATGATTATCTCCAGCTGGTTGAGACCCACCCAGTACACTATCAGAATGCAGGGCATACCTACATGCAGTAAAGCCCCATATATATAGTAAGGGCAGGGAACTAGTGGTTTCTCTGCACTATCCCCAATACAGTGGTGTTTTAGGTCTAGGTTGATTGCTTCACATCTGCTTATCTGGCCTGGAAGATGGTGGTGGCAATGTGTTTGAGAAAGTATAGGCCTAACCTATTGACCTACCAGTGAGATCTACCACCAAAGGGAGGATGATGGGTTTAGGATCTGTGATGGTTAATTTTAAATATCAACTTGACTGGATTAAGGAATATCTAGAAACCTGGTAATGCATTATTTGGGGATGTGTTTGCTGCAAGAGTGTTTCCAGGAGAGATTAGCATGTGAGTCTGAATGGAGCAGGTAGGGATGATCCATCCTCAGTATGGGTAGACACCATCAAATCTGCCAATAATGTGAAGACAGCAATAGCAGAGAAAAGGCAAATATGTCAGTCTACTGCTGGAACTAGAACATGCTCTTCTTCTCCTGTCTTTAGACAACAACTTCAGGCTCTGTGGCCTTTGAACTATAGGATTTAAACCAGTGGCCCCCCAGGTTCTCAGGCCCTTGGCCTTGGACTGAGAATTACACCATTGGCTTCCTTGGTTCTAAGGCCTTCTAACTTTTGGACTGAGCCATGCTGCAAGCATGCCAGGGTCTCCAGCGAGCAAGTGGCCTCTCATAGGACTTCTCAGTCTCCATAATTGCATAAACCAATTTCCCTAATATATGCATACAACCTATTGAGTTCTGTCTCTCTGGAGAACGCTGACTAATACAGATTTTGGTGCTAGAAGTGGTCGTAGAGGACAGACTTTTAAGAATTAGTGTCTTTAATTGATTTGGGGGTTTCTGGAATTAGCTCTCTAATCTGATTAGACCTGAAAGTACAAAGGGCTTTATTTCTAATAGTACAGACATTTCTGATATTCCATGGTACGAATTGTTTATGAATATACACAAAATGAATGCATTTGATACTCCTAATTCACCTCTTATAAAAGGCAAGAAAGTTAGTGACTCTATACATAATATTTTTGAAAACTTGTGGAAAACCAAGAAATATAATGATCTCAGTTGGCTGTTCTTATCACTGCTGGACAAAGTGACGCTGCAGTTTGTTCTTCTCTGGAGGCTGTACCTTACAATGGTAACTGCAGTTACCACAATAGAAAGCCAGCCCATTGGAAAACTTAAATGGCAGAAGAAGAATTAAATTCTGAGGTGGCAGAGGCCATTCATTCAACGCGTTTTGGATCTGTAAACTGGCTCAAGTCTGGAAGTCGATTCAGGGGTGATAATTTTCTGTTTTCATGTTTTGAGGTAGACTTTTATTAACTTGACAGAATGTTTTCTGCTTGTACACCTCAAGTAAGATTTTAGTAGGCTTCCTATCTATTTCATATCTAGGAGCACTATGATTAACTAGCCACCACCACAGATCTACAGAAGTCAGACTATTCTGATTCTTGTCCTGACTCTGTCTGCTATTGCGGTAACTGTGCCTACCTTGCCTTTGATGGTTGAGTGCTGCCGTTTGGCCTCTGCTACCTCAGAATCTAAGAATTCTTCTCACATTTAAGTTCTCCAATGGGCTGGCTGCAGTTTGTTCTTCTCTGGAGGCTGTACCTTACAATGGCAACTGCATAGTGTTCCTAGATATGAACGAAAGGTGAGCCATGTCCCCGCCAAGAAAGGACCCTGGTATACTACCTAAAATTTATACTGTTAATCTTTCTCCCATACTTCCCCAATGGGACCTATGGCCTTTTACCAGCATAAATGTTTATTGAGGAAAGGGAAATAATCAGTATTTTCAGGGAGTACTGATATCCAGTATGCAATACTTTCAGGGAGTACTGATATCCAGTATGCAGTACTTTCAGGGAGTACTGATATCCAGTATGCAGTACTTTCAGGGAGTATTGATATCCAGTATGCAGTACTTTCAGGGAGTACTGATATCCAGTATGCAGTACTTTCAGGGAGTACTGATATCCAGTATGCAGTACTTTCAGGGAGTATTGATATCCAGTATGCAGTACTTTCAGGGAGTACTGATATCCAGTATGCAGTACGTTCAAGGAGTACTGATATCCAGTATGCAGTACTTTCAGGGAGTACTGGATACTGGCCCTGAACTGACATTGATTCCAGGAGATGCAAACCATCACTGTGGCCCTCCATTTAGAGCGGAGGCTGATGAAGGCCAAATTATTAATGGATTTTTAGCTCAAGTCCAACTCACAGTGGGTCCAGTTGGTCCCCAAACCCATTCAGTGGTCATTTCCCCAGTTCCAGAATCCACAATTAGAAGAGACAGCCGGCAGACTCCCTACATTGGTTTCTGACCCTGTGGAGTATGGTGAGAAAAGATAAGTGGCAGCCTCTAGAGCTGCCTCTGCCTAGGAAACTAGTTAACTCAAAACCAACGCTGCATTCCTGGAGACATTGCAAAGATTAGTGCCACCATCAAGAGCTTAAAAGATGCAGAGGTGGTGATGCCCACCACATTTGCATTCAACTCTGCTGTTTGGCCTGTGCAGAAGGCAGACGAATCCTGGAGAATGACAGTGGATTATTGCAAGCCTAACTAAGTGGTGACTCCAATTACAGCTGCTGTACCAGATGGTTTACTTGCTCGAGCAAATTAACACATCTCCTGATACCTGGTATGCAGCTGTCGATCTGGCAAACGCCTTTTTCTCCATCTCTGTCTGGAAGGCCTACCAGACACAGTTTGCCTTCAGCAGGGAAGGCCAGTTATACACCTTTACTGACCTACCCCAGGAGCATATTAACTCTCCAAACTTATGTTATAATTCAGCTTGCAGGGATTTTGGTTGCCTTCCTCTTCCATAAAATATCACATTGATCCATTACATTAATGACATTATGGTAATTGGTCCTAACGAACATGAAGCAGTAACTACTCTGGACTTATTGATAAGACATTTGCGTGTCAGAGAATGGGGGAAAATATGGCTAAAATCCAGGGTAAATCCTTGTATTTCAATAAAATTTCCAGGGCTCTCATGGTGTGTGTCATGACAAGATATTTGTTCTAAAGAACAAGTTGTTTCATCTGGCCCATCCTAAAACCAAGAAAGAGAGGCACAATCCTTAGTAGGCCTATTTTGATTTTGGAGGCAGCACGTTTATCACTTGAGTGTGCCACTCTAGCTTATCCACCAAGTGACACAAAAAGGTGCTAGTTTAGAGTGGGCCCCAGAATAGGAGAAGGCTCTGAAACCGGTCCAGGTTGCTGTAAAACCTGCTCTGCCAGAGAGGCCTTACGACCCAACAAACTCAATGGCACTTGAGGTAACAGTGGCAGAGAGGGAGCCCTCCATAGATAACATACAGTGAATGACCTTGAGATTTTAGAGCAAGACCTTGCCATCTTCCACAGAAAACTTCTTTCCTTTTGAGAGACAGCTTTTAGCCTGCTACTGGGCCCTAGCAGAAACTGAATGTCTGACCAGAGTCCATCAAGTAACAATACAACCTTATCTGCCCATTACAAACTAGATGTTGCCTGACCCACTAAGCCGTAAGGTTGGGCATGCACAACAACACTCCGTCATCAAATGGAAGTGGTACACATGTGATCAGGCCTGAGCAGGTCCTGAAGGCACAAGTAAATTGCATGAGGAACTGGTCCAAACGCCCGTGGTTCTTACTCCTGCTATGTTGCCTCCTCTCTTCCAGTTTTCACTTATGGCCTCATGAGGAGTACCCTATGATCCAGGCGCAACCCAAAAGTAGACAGCTATACCACTACATCCCCCTTCTGGTACATTCCTGAAGGATAGTGGCAAACCTTTTCACCGTACACCTGGTTGTGAACTTTCCTTGGAAGGAGAAATGGCCTGATGTGAGATTATATACTGATTCATGGGCTGAAGCCAATGGTTTGGATGGATAGTCAGAGACTTGGAAGGAAGATGACTGGAAAATTAGTTAAAAAAAAAAAAATGGGAAGAGGTATGTGGCTAGACCTCTGAGTGGGCAAATGATAGGAAGATGTTTATGTCCCACATGTTTGCTCACCAAAGGGTGACCTCAGCAGAGGAGCAGAGGAGTATCCATTCTGTGGATACTAGTTAGCTTTTTCCACTAGCCACCCTTGTTATTGACCACTGAGCTCATTGAAAAGTTATCATGGCGACAGGGATGGAGGTTATGCATGGGCTCAGCAACATGTACTTCTGGCCAACACTGAGTGCCCAATCTGCTAGTATCAGAGACCAACACTGAGCCCCCAATCTGCTAGTATCAGAGACCAACACTGAGCCCCCACTATGGCACCATTCCCCAAGGTGCTACTTGGAGGCAGGTTGATTATATTGGACCACGTCCATCATGGAAGGGGCAGCATTTTGTC